TTTACATGGGGCCGTGGAAGCCACCTTCTTACATGTGAGTTACTTTCCTGGCTCCAAGCTGTCTGAAGAAACGGTGTACAAAAATGCTGAGTGGATGGAACTTCAGAAGCACAGTTTATGGAACTTCAGAGCCTCAATGGCCATAATCACAGTGTTTTGGAATCTGGAGGACTGGTGATTGAGCGACTGACCAGACCGAACAGGGCCTTTTCAGATCTTTTCAGTCTGGAGGATCGCTACTAGGTTGGAGGCCATTGCTATTAGGTTCCTTTTGCTAGGAGCCAAGAGCATCGCTACTAGGAACGAGGCTACGAACGGGGCTCCTGGCCTTACTACGAACGGAGCGATCGGACGCTATGAACGGAGCAAAGGCCATCGCTACTAACAAGTGCCTTACTAGTAGTAACAAGAAGCTATCAGAAACAAGTGCCACGCTACTAGTAACAGGTGCCTTACTAGTAGTAACAAGGTTCGCTACTAGGGGCTCCTTGTCCACCCGTCAGGTACGGCATCGGCCTGGAGGACGTGGAGGACGCCTTCCGATGGCTCACCACGGTGCCACACCAGCCGCTGCCCGAGCAGATCTCCCCGACCTCGACCCACTTCATGATCTCGAGCCTGGTGTCAGATGGACGGAGCAGTCCGATCCCTAAGAGCACCCACCAGATCCAGTTTGACACCAACTTCCCCGCGCCTTGCAGAGATCGATGGTTGGACCTGGAGACCAGACTGGAGATTTGGGTGCGTATGCGGGTCATGCGTCGTTTCGTAGGATTTGTCGAATGTGGGTTCGCCTCCATCCACTATGGGAGTTGCCGTGACAATGTGCCAGAATTGAAAGTTCTATAGAAGAAAGATGAAGAAAGTGCTTGGTTCATGTTGATGCATGACTAGGTGGGAGGCCATCGCTTCGAGGTTGGAGGCTATCTCTATTAGAAATAGAGAAATGGAAGAAACATGCGCTAATATAGTAACAAGAAGCTACTAGTAGCTCCTGGCATTACTACTAGTAACAAGAAGCTACTAGTAACAAGGGCACTACTACTAGTAGCAAGGTGCCTTACTAATATAGTTTGCTATTGTTCATGTTGGTGCATGAATGTCAGCCGTGGTCCTGGAATGTCATTATGTCACCAATATGTCACCAATCGCATGGGCGGGGACTACCTATTGTGACACACGCGCACGCACGCACGCACCAGGCACTACTTAGGGACAAGAACTGCTGGAAGAAGAACCGCAGATACATCAGATATAAACATATATAAGCTAGAAAGCTAGGCTCACTAACCATTCAAGAAATCCACTCTTACTAGTTTCTACTTCTTTGGAATTCTGATGAATTCTGAGAAGCTTTAGAGATGTCAGGCTGCAAGACCAACAACCGAATTCTGTCCCAGACGAAAGATTGACACATCCACAGTCCAAAGCGCGGAGATTTATTGGAATTTGTTAGCTTCCAGTCAAGCAGCCTTGGGTTTCGGGACTTGACTGAGCATCCTTTCTCGATATGTCCTTTCGACACCTCACAGCCCAGTGCAGATTCGAGGTGCTCGTGGATCCTGCAAACTCGGAAGCAGTGGCTGCAGCTATGGTGCTTGCCAGCCTGCTGCTGGGCGACGAAGGGATGGGATCACAAAGGATCGATCTGGGAGTTACTCAGGCAGTGCTGCGACTGAGTCGTAGTGGCGGTGTGCGGTGTACGAAGGATTGCCAGTGCTGGGAAGCGCGTTGGACAATCTAAGCCACTGATGTTTCGTCCTGATCTTTCTCGCCGTCGATCTAAGCCAGGAGTTTCCAGTGGGATGTTGTTCAATGTTGTTCACTTTTCTTCATCCTGTTCCCCCAATGGTTATGGGAATGTTGATTAAAACCAGAGAATGGCAACGGACTGTAGGGGACCCATTTCAAAACAAACAAATGAGCCCTTTCAACTGGGTAACCAGGGCTTCACATGATCATTTTTAATGTTTAGAGCTGATGCATTGTCCCTGGATCCAGGAACTCTGCCTTAGATTGCCCTCTTTGTCTTTTAAATGTGTTTACCAAAGTTGGTTGACACAGACAGCGCTTTCCACCGCCTGTGCGGTAAAAGGGTATCTACTGCTGTTGTATATAAGTATATATAGGTTGCCCTTCCTGGTAGGCTGCCCGAGCTACCCCTGTGGCAACCTTTAGTGATGTGTTGTTGCCACGTCGGGGCGGAAGTTGTCTCGTCGTGCACGTCGAGGCAGACGTTTTCCTACTCAATCCACCTGAGAGATGGCCATGATCCTTAACCTTTTTGCAGCTAAGAGTTTCCAGCTGTTGATCTTCTTTTGGTACAGGATGTGATTCCAACCATAGTGACTATAGTGCTCTCCTTCACCATGCATCGCCATGCATCACGCACAGGTTGAAGCCTGCACTCTTGGGCTCGAATTTGCCCCTTCCCTTCATCCAACTCAGCGGTGTTGAGGCTCCGCTCGTCCGGACGACCGGAACAGCGGTTTGGACCGGGTCACGTGGACGAATGCAAACGAGTCAGGGTCGTCAGGGGCCAGATCGGAGGTGGGTCAAAGTCGTTGGGGTTTGAAGTTGCTCAGGTTTCCGGCGCAACTTCTCGGCTTGGGTCAGGTTGACTGTAGATGTTCGGTGATGTGTGGTGATGTGTGGATCAGCTAGAACCTAGCTGGCTCCGACATGGGTGATGTTGAAGCCTGGCTACCATTTCCAACAATGAATCTAGGATGCAACACCTTGAATACCTGCCCTTCTGGTCATCCTTCTGGCCTACAAGCACTTCCCGTCCGGCCCAGTAAACGGGGTGCTAGGCCCACTGACTTCAGTGCTTCCTGTCCGAAGCGCCCACACGCGGCCCGCGAAATCTGCCAGGTCCCGCACGAAGCGACGCGCTCCTTGTTGATTTGCAGCAGTGGATGCTTCAAATCAGAACAGCTTCAGACCTGGCTGCTTTCACCGCAAAAAGTGTCGGATGGTCAACTTCACAAACCTTGACAGGTGAAGCATCACATGCGTGGGGCATTCCATGCGGCTGACACAGAATTCCCAATCACACCACACGGGGTGGTTGGTAGGTTGATTGGCCGGAGTCAATGTGGGCATGGAGTGTTTGGGTTGGAGTGATGGAAGGTCACTTCATCTTCAAAAACCAAAGCTCACAACCAGGTGTTGACTGCGAAGACTGGAATCGTTTCGGCTTTTGGGCGCGTACATTTGTCTCAGCTCCTCACTGAATCCGACTGGGTGTCCGATGACGTTAGCTGCCATCTACCCCTTGGTCTCCCGACGCGGTTTAGCTTGGGCCCACCGCCATGCTCGTGGGGGTCCTGTTGTGGGTAGAATAAGGAAATCCAAAACCAATGGGAAGCCAATGAATCTATCTACTTCAGCACGGTTATGTTTGTTGAGGTGTATGACATATATATATATATGTTGTTGGAGACTCCACTTTCTCGGCTTCTCCCAGTGGCCAGGATGGGTTTGGGCCACACCGGAAGTGTGGACTGTTGCCTCAGGCTTTTGGAAGCCTCATGCCTGCCAGAATGCTGCATGAGTCTTGGACTGGACGGGCCCAGAGTGCATCGCCCAAAGACTGATTTATTGTTTCTAGTAGTAACAAGGGCCTTACTAGTAGTAACAAGAAGCTATCGAATTTTCTAATTAAACTTTCTTGTTTAAAATAGCAAACATTGTTACTACTAGTAAGGCACTTGTTACTAGAAGCGATGCACTTGTTCCTAGTAGCTTATTGTTTCCTGATCCCATGGAATGCTTCGTTAGCATTGGCACAGGACCATAGGATGAGACTAGAGGGGTTTAGCAAAGACACACACACACAAGAATCGGGAGATTGATGGACCAAACTAATTGGGAGGATTTGTGTAATGCACTGAGCCGGAAGGCTGTTGCATTATTCTTAAACATGTCACATGTTCATATAGGTGGCCGGACCAAACTATAGGAGGCACCAAACTATAGGAGGCATACTTCCTAGGAGACAAGTCTTCTCTAAGTTCGATTTCCTTGTTCATTCTCTGCTCGTGTCCAAGTTGGACCGCACATATGCCACAAAGTGAGCCGCGCCACCCAGGATTCCAGTGATCACCGAGGAGGCTTTCGAGATGCCTTCTGAAGCCTTCTTCATGGAACTGCAAACCACGTCGAAGTTGACGGATAACCAGTTTCCTGCCGATTGAAGAAGTGAAAGAAGTGACCAACATACCGACCTTTTTCACTCCAAAAAACAATCGTTTCTCCCCACCTGTCGGGAATCACCCCGCCCACTTTCCCCCTCACTAAAAAAATTGAGATCAAAGCATCCTTCATACGTTCTTGCACCGCTCTGTGGCAAAGACGTGGCCTCCTTCCAAAAAGCGCAGCCGCCCAGGTTGCAGTTGTTCGTGATGGCCACTCGTGCGCAAAGAGAAATGTTTGAACCCATGAGTTGCGAATACAGCTGGCCCGACATTCCATGGACCAATGGATCTTGAACACACGATTTGCTCACTCATGGGGTGGTTTTAAAAAGGAACATGTTCGGGAAGAAACATGAAGAAACCACTTTCTGGGATTATCATCGTCCGGAGTCCTACTTTGTCCGGGGTTTTGTGAATCACCTACTTTTGATCGGTTCACCCGTCACATTCCTGCAGAACCAATCCCCAAAAACCCACAGACTTGGTTGCTCTCGGCGGCTCCAGGCTAATAGCGATGCCCTTTTCTCCTAGTAGCGTTCCTTGCTCCTAGCAGCAAGGCCAGGAGCCACTGGTAGCGAACATTGCTCCTAGGTGATCAGGGCGTTGTTCCAAGAGATTGCCGTGGTCTTCGTGCCACAGAGCTATGCGTCCACCCATCAGGATTTGCAACTCCGCGCCAAGCAGGCAGCCTGGTCCTTGTAGATGGGGTTTGTTTTTCTCCCTTGAATCCCCTGCTGGGTAATTTAAGAGGAATCAGTGATCAGTCTAATTTTGTTTCCAGGATCCTTCAGACATCGCCAGGCAGCTTCTAGGCTCATCGCCAACCTTCAGCCCTTGGAACAGAAAGTCTCCAAATTGCAGTCCAGGCGACTCGTCCATGATGTACATGTCTTGTTCTCCACGTTCCGGCTTTGACCTCGGGTGGCGGCGACTCCGGCCCTGGCTTCCTGAAGCCGTGATCGCGGAGCCAAAGCCGGAACTGGATTTAGAAACACAAAGGATCACAGTTTGGTAAGTTTCAGCCGGCAGTGCCAGATTGGAATCTGGGTTTGTGATTAATTAGTTGACCATGTCCATGCGATTCGGCATGTCAATTTCGTTATGTGTTCCTTCACTTCAGTTGAGCACATGTGTATAAATTTGGTCCCAAATGAGTTGCACTCGAACTGATTCCAAACGACGTTCAAGTTGCGTTTGATTATGACTTGGGCGAATGAATGCTTTGCACAAGAGCTACGCAAGACAAAAGGGTTGGGGTGTTTGCAAACAAAACACAAACCGTGCCAGCGGGCAAAGATGGCTAGCAGGTTGGAGGCCATCGCGAGTAATTAGGTTGGAGGCCATTGCTCTTAGGGGGAGGCCATCGCTATTAGGTTCCTTAAGAACCTACTAGCGCGGACGCTGTCTTTGGCTTTGGTGATCGAAGAAAAATATTTGCCTCTTGGGCTGTGGGTTGGAACTTCCTCGGCTGGGCGGTCATTTGAATCCCACCTGTGTCCATCCCACCTGTCCCAAACAACATGTTCAGTTGGATTTTCAGAAACTGCATTAGCACATGAGTTTCCCCAAAGCGAGCAAGCATCCCAAGAGCAATGCTCCCCTTGTGCATCTAGGTTGGAGGCCATGGCTATTAGGTGTCTAAAAGTCTGTTAATATTGTCTATAAGGGTATGTATAGAGAGGGACCATCTCAGCTGAGGTTCGGAGAACAATCTTCTGTGGAAGAAATCTGGCGAGCCAGGAGCAGTATGATGGTGACTTGAGGTTTTGATGTACATGCCATGGGGGGCCTGTCCCCAATCCTGGAGTGGAAGACCGGTTAGGACGATTAGGGTCCTCCGTTGTTTAACGGTGGGGAAAGGTGCATGTCCAGAGGGTTGCGTTTTCAATGCCTTTGCATGTCCCTTCATCGTGATCAGTCACTCAGGTGAAGCAGGAAGACTGACCTCCAAAAGAGCACGAGTAATATACAACAGTTGGTATACTTTGGTGCTCTCCAAGTAATTACCCTTGCAATAACTATGCCGACCACGCGGTGACTCCACCCCTTCTTTTTAATGCATGGCATGCAAGCCATGATTTTCCATGTTTTTCCCGGTGCCCCAAGCATGTACCCCGACCACGGCCCGCCGCCTTCGTGCCAAGCCCGACGTCAAGGCCATCTTTGCTGGAAGTACCGTTGGGGGAGGGAAGCTGTTGTTTCCTCTGGATTATTTGATTAACGACATTTGGTTGATGAAGCCTGGTTGTTTCCGATGGGTTTGTGACATGAATCTAAGTTTCTAAGGTGACCAAAGGCAGCGAAGAGCCAGAAGATTGCAACAAGGCAGGGCTGGGATTCGGACCTGGCAAGGAGCATTTTCGGGCGACCGAACGAAGTGGTTGCTTGGTGGGTTCTGATTCTGATGGGACAGGGTGGGGTTGATTCGGGACTCTCTGGGCTGAAGTGCGTGCACCTCTTCGGATACCGAACAACCGTTCAAGAGTTTGTCAAGCACAACACTCTTCAGACCAATTTGTTGCTTTCAGCAGGAGGAGGGGCAGTTGTTGCTTCAATGATTGTATGCGATAGTGCGTCAAGACTGAATCAGCAGATGTTCACCTTCAGATGGTGTGAGACCTTTTCGATGGAGTCCTGGAGGAAAATCAGATCAGGTTTTCATCATTCGTGGGATACCTTCAGGCCTTTAGTTATTTGTGCCAGGATGATCACCTCGTCAGGGATCCATCTTCTGAGAAGAACTTGAGTCGAGTGTTTTTTGTATTTTTCCGGTTCTGTCCGCTTTCTGGGAAGGTTGACACAGCATTTGGATAATTCTGGTTGGATGGATGAGATGAGATGGGTGAATGCACACACGTACACAAACACCAACGGCGACACGTTGCGTGACACTCTTCAAAGACACTCTTGAAGGATATTCCGGGGTGACACTCTTCTAGAACACTCTTGTGGGACACGCTTGCACGACACCTTTTCTTTACACTTTCGTACGAGACTCTTCTAAAAAACCACTCTTGCGCCACAAATATATGGGACCCTCGTGTGTGACACTCTTGTGGATCTTGTGGGACACACTGTAGCACACTCTTGTAAGACACTCTTGTAAGTCACTCTTCTTGTGGGACACTTTTGTGGAACACTCTTGTAGGACAGCTTTTGTGGACACATGTAAAACTTTAACACTCTTACTGGACGCCCTTTTGCGCGATACCTTCGGAAGATGGTCTTCCGAGCGATCATTTCGTTCGAGACCTCCTCCAAAAGTCCGCATCTTTCGCCGTCAAAACGAGGATTTCGTTCGAGACGTCCTCCGAACGTCACACGTGCGCCGTCTCCAAAGCGAGGGTACGAAACCCTTGGACGTCCAAACGTGACAACCTCACGATTCCCCCCCGCGTTTGCGGCCTCCCAGCACCTCCAACACGGACGTATTGCACCTGCCAAGTGACCACGCCACAGCTTGACATGTTTGTAGGAAAATGTCCGCCGTACCACACGTTTGGATTGGATCGACACATGGCGCTGTTTCACCCAGATTTGTCAATGTCACGATCAAACAGCCTCCGGGGCAAGCGCTTCAAGAGCAGATCCAACTGGTGCAGCGACATTCAACGCCTCCAAAAATACCACCCTGCCTACGCCAATGCCAATCGATCGCTCGCGGGCGGTAGCGAACATGAAAGCAACGTCGCACGAACTCACCAGGCCCTACCGTACCCCAGAACCTTTCGCGACGCACGCGGGAATATTGGCAGTGCTCTGCGAAGAACCATCCAAACAAGCCCTGACGTCTATCACAGTGCCTGTACACGTAGGACATCCTTGGCCACCTCCCTTCAGGAGTTGACACCAACCGAGTACTCCGATGGAGCCTACTTTCCTCGGGTGGCCTGGCAATGTTTTCTGGAACGAAGAAAATCGGTGAGGCACTGATTGGAAGCAAACAAGGAAGGATCCAAATGTGTTTTCCTTACTATATACGAGTAACAAGTGCATCGCTACTAGCAAATGGCTACCTACTATACTTACTAGTAAGTCTACCAGTAGGAATCTTCTGTCCGAAGTTCCGGCGCAAACCTCAGGACGTGGTCAGCGAGGCTTTGTGAGACCAAAGTCTGCCGATTTTCGGAACAGCGGACGTTCCCAGGGTGAGGCCAAACGTGATCGTTTTGCCTGCGGCGGAAAGCGTTGAGATAGGTAAGATATACAATCCAATCATGAATACGGTTGGTTCAAAGACCCATGTCTATGTATGTCTATGTTCTAAGTCAACGAATTTGTGAAGACATGTGAACACTATTACGCCAGCAGTTTCTCGAGGACTCTTTGAAAGGTTCGCGCAAAGTTATCAACCTGAGAAACTGTTTGCTTGCAGTTGGCTGTTTCCGGCTGCATGTTGAGAAGCTACGAACACTTGAAGATTGGCTGCTGTTTCCGAGGGTGTGTGAAAATATACTTGGTCAAAATGCTAGACATGAGAAGATTGGCTGGTTGTTTCTGGTTGAATTTATGGGGGCTGTGAAAATGCCATATTTGGTTGGCTGTTTTAGGGGGCTATGAAAATGCCGTTGACCAAATTGGATTCCCAGGGAAAACCTTCGAACAAGCAATTTTGCTCCTAGTAGCGATGCCCTTTGTTCCTACTGTAGTAGCTTCTTGTTCCTAGTAGTAATGCCAGGAGCTACTAGTAGCTTCTTGCTCCTAGTAGCGATGCCCTTTGTTACTAGTAGCCTTTGAACAAGCAATTTTGGGATGGTAAGAAGCTACTAGTGGCTCATGGCCTTACAACTAGCATCGCTACAAGGAGCAAGGACGATACGAAGGTAGCTCCTGGCATCACAGTTGACGCTTGCATTTCAGATTGGCTGGCCGCCTTGGATCGTGTTTTGGGAGTCTGCACAAATGCCATGCATTTCCAGTGGCCATGCAAAAACATTAGAGGTCGGTGGCCAAATGAAGTTTTTGAGGGGTTTTTGCAAAGCGATTTGGGAATCACTTGCACAAATTGTTTTCAAATTGTTTTGGCATGGGCTGACATGAGGAGGTTGGCTGGCTGTGTTTCCCATTGCACTTCGAGAGGCTATCAAGATGAAGGAATCGCCAAAGATTCCGCACTGTAGCACGCGAAAAACGACATTATAAATTATAAAGCCCTACACTGGACGGCCTTGACATACAATATATACAATGGTTCTAAGTGTTCTAAGATCTCAAAACCATGGTGGTATTCACTTTTAAAGTTCACTTCATTTGGTACTCCATCATCGTTTACCCACAAAACCGATGAGTGAAAAGGGCTCCGTGTCCAGGCAGTGCTTTTTCAGACTCGCCTTTGAACCATTTGGGTGCCTTGCCGGTGGCGTTTCGCCCACCAAACTGGTTGCCACCCTTGCAATCGGTCTCATGTAAAACAGATTGATGACCAACGGTTGGTGTTTTTGTTGCAGCATGAAAACGCGGCCACCCACCTTCAAAAATCAATGAATCAATTTGGCAACCTGATCTTTGCTTGTGAAAGGTCCCTTGCAAGGCAATTTGGTCTGATGTTTCCCCGACGCTCGTCAAAAAGCAGCCATGAACTTTTGGTAACCGGTCGACCGATCTCTAATGTTTTTGTTGAGGCTTTGCGTATCTAAACAGCAAGTTGGCCACAGAGTCCTGGTGGCAACTGCCCTTGCAGCCCCCTGAAAGAACCAATTTGGCGACTGCTCTTGCACAATCCCAGCAAGGAATTCTGTGACAATGCATCAGGTCACAGCGAAAGAACATTTTCGGCAACGGGGGTCTTGAAATTGTTCCACACGCAACTTTGCTTGCGGAAACTGTGCGAAGGTCCTGAGCAAGACAAGAAATATCAAACCTTGAACAACCCTCTATATAATCTAAATACAGTAGATGTACACGCTTATATATCTTATATAATCAACTATATAAACATGTATTTATATATATACATACTGTACATTGTGAGTCAAGCAACGTTGGAGTTTGGTCAATCATTGGTCAATCATTCGTCCTGTCACTAGGAACGCTCAGAGGAACGCTCCGCCGCCCCCTGGAACATGCTGTACCACTGCATATTTGCTACCACGTGGATTTGCAGCCATGTGCTGGAGGAATGACTCCAGGTTGGCAACTGCACCTCCCTTAGCAGCTAGGAATGCTGGAGGCTACCTGTTGCGAATCGCTTCCTGGCCCTCGTTTGTTTTCCTTTATGAGGGCAAATGCGGAAGAACCGCTTTCCTTGCCCAATCTTGCCCGCGTTTTTTTTCCTTTAGTAGGGCATGATAATTGATCATGCCGGAACAATTTGCACGCTCCTTGTTTTGTCGATGTTCCACAGCTTGACAAGCATTTCTATCACCAACGTCGTCTCCGCTCATCGTGGGGTAGGAGGACATCTCATGAGGCAACGGTCAGAATTTTGATGTGATGGCGTTATCATTGGCCGAGAAGAAACAGAGCCAACATTTAAGGTTCCAAAACCGTTGGTTTCTGTTTACACGTGGGCTTCTCCCTCTAGGGTGGCGGGTAATACGAAGAAAGCTATCAGGCGTGGTGTGGCTTCGCTCACGATGTCGAGCTACAGAGCTGTGCGCCGCTTTTAAGTGCCAGGATGTTTGCAACCGAACTTTCCACAGAACACGTGAAGACGTGGATCACTGCAACAAGCGCACGTGTGTTGACGAAATCCAAAGAAAAAAATCCTGACGGACGCAGGGCGTGACGCAAAAGAAAGGCACCGACTAGCAATGGCCTCCAACCTACTAGCGATGGTTTGTGTTTGCAAGTGCTCTACATCTCAGCAAGGTGATTCTCCGTCAGTTTGGCACCTGGCAGACCACTTCTGTTTTGTGTCCTGTGTGGCAATTGTGTCAATGTCCTTTTTCTTCCTTTGCCAGAGCTTGCACATGTTCACACTCTGAAATGTCCAAACCTTCAAGTGAAATAGTCCCCCTCAAAAGGCATCTGGGCAATTCTCACGGAGACTCATTGCATTTAGCCGCATGCTTTGTGGCCAGGTCACCAGGAAGGACTTTCATGTCTGTGGCGGCCAGCGGCCAGCTGCCCAGATCGTATGAACTGGCGCCCCAGACAACCCATGCCGTCGTTCGTTGGCAGTTGGCTGTCGTTTTCTTTGGCCAACCTGACGTAGACGACACAGACACGAAGATGAAGACAGACGGGACCAGCACAGGACCGGCAGGTGTAGGCGTGACGTGAGGCTGTAGGCACGAATAGGCACAAATAGCCAGGAGGTGAGGACCAAAACGTTTTTTTTGTTTTCCCCTTTTTGGGATGTTCCACGCCATTTGGAGATCCACAGTGCCTTGTTTTGTGGCATCTTCAGCTACTTGTTTAGCAGAGCTGTTTCATTGGGATCCGGAAGAGGCAATTCGCTGCGTTCGCCCAACGACCGGATGGCGCTTCCCACAGCCCCGGTCGACTGCCGTCATACCCAGAACGAGCTAGACTACCCTCCGCCGAACACACGGAGGTGGAAACGGGCCTCCTGGGAAGACGACTTTCCTCGGCGGTTTCCACTTCCATGTGATGTGTTCGTCGAAGTGTACATAGCGGCATGGCAATAGCAATTTTTGCCCTCATGGTATTCGGCCAACTATCTCTTGTGATGAGCTGCTTTGCTACCCTGCTGTGGGTTTGAATGACAGAGGGGTTGCCGGGGTTGCCGTTTTGTTTGAAGCCTGAAATTTGATCTTAGACTCTGCCGGGAGTGCCTCATGCGACATCCTACCCCTACCGTTCCACCTTGCCCCACCCAATCCTGGCACTGTCAAGTGCACCTTTGTGCTGTGGAGTGGCCGAAGGAAGTTCACGGTTGAAACCGCCCTTTGGAAGGCCTGACTTGCTCCAACTGGACAATACACATCGACAAAGACAATGATCAAAACCATGTATCATGTACCATACTCAATGATAGCCCCATCAGCGAAGACTAGCCTCCAGCAATGGTTTCTCTGCGTGCGGCGTTTCTCAGACTCCAAACCATTCATGGCCTCCAACCTACTAGCGATGGCCTTCACGATCATCCAAGTTCAGTCCATGAACGAACATCTTATATTAGCCGATGGCTCCAAGTCACGTTTGCGTCCCGTTTTGCGCTGCCCATGCGTGGGACCGGAGCTGCACAGCCCTGGTCAGATCCGGCGTTTGTCGTTTGGTTGCCCGATTCGCTTGGCGCTGCGGACATCCGTTCGTTCACGGTTTTAACGTGCTGAACAACTTGGTGATAGTAACAAGGGCATCATTAGTAGCAAGGCTTCCTACTACACCTACTACTATAGTAACAAGAAGCTACTAGTACCAAGGGCATTGCTCAAAAGAGCTTACTAATGAGTGTGGGCCGAAATGGGTGTGACTTGGAGTCAGCACATCTGTTCACAGGCTCGGATTTGTGTTGCGGAATTGAGGTGGAAAAAGGATTTTGCACATTTAAATTCTATTTATGTATGTATTGTTACTAGTAGCTTCTTGCTCCTACTGTAGTAATAAGGCCCTTGCTCCTAGTAGCGAGGCCAGGAGGTCCTAGTAGCGTCCTTTTGCCGTGAATTTGCGTATTTATTGATTGGACATGTGGCTAGTTTGGAATGCTCAATTCACACGAATGTGCCACAGGGTATTCTGTACCTCTCTACGGGGTTTTGGAATGATACCATGCGTGGATTCTTTCCATGAGTGAAGGTGCGTGAAGCGGTTGGCCGCCGGTCGACCAGCTGGTTTGGGCCCCGCCTTCGATGGCCTTCGATCTTGTCCCGAACTTCTGCGGGGTCTATAGTAACAAGAAGCTACTAGTAGCTCCTGGCATTACTACTAGTAGCCAGAAGCTACTAGTAACAAGACACCTTACTACTAGGAACAAGAAGCTCCGAGTTACTAGTAGCGCCTCGTATTGATAGTCACTTAGAGATTTTAGAGTGACCTGGGGGTGTCCAACAACTATCACTAACTTGGAGGACGATAGGTTTCTTTGTGTGAGGACCGGATGCTACGAACGTAACAAGGGCATCGCTATGAACGGAGCGATCGGACGCCACGGGGGGCCCGTGGATCGGCAGCCCGTTGACCGAGGTGTCGAACATATGCG